TACTATTATTATAACAACATACGTTTCGAAGCCCCGCATTATCCCATTCATGATAATCCAGCAAATATTTCATAACGAATAGTTCTTCACGTGTTTCCATAGAGAATACTTGAATTTGTTGTATAGTTAAATCAACCCTGTATTTCCAAACTATCCAGTAGGTTGACTGAAATGTACATGTGTGTACCATACACCAGATAAAAGTCATTTGGCCATAGTTTTTCCTTTACAGCGAGGTTAACCCTTATCTTTGTATGTCGAAGTTGCACCACATTATAGCTGCATTTGTTTTTCTTCGTTATTCTCTTATATACATATTGTTTAGATTAATAGCGTTATAATTGATAAATGTTCCAGTACACCAAACCCTCCTTATTTGACTCTGTTTAACTTAGTTGAAAATGTCTGCAGCTTTATTTGTAGGTCAAAACTAATAATAAATTATGAGCCATTATATCCTATAAAAACCAATCTTGTAACCATAGACAACTAACCCACATAAGCTTTTGTGACTGTGACGTCATCTACATCTGTGTTTCCCAAAGTGGGAGGCTGTGAAGCTTTTTTCTGGAGGGCCGAAAACAAATAAACAATAAGTCGATAAAAATTATATTGAATTAATTAAATGATACAGTATGTCGAATAGAGTAACTACGTTACTGTTTTTCAATCACCTTGCTAAAGTTATAGGTTGGCTCAGACTAAAAGGGGATTGTTTTTTGAATTTCGCGCAAAGCTACACGAGGGCTATCTGTGCTAGCCGTCCCTAATTTAGCAGTGTAAGACTAGAAGGACGGCAGCTAGTAATCACCACCCACCGCCAACTATTGGGCTACTCTTTTACCAACGAAAAGTTGGATTGACCGTCACATTATAACACCCCCAAGGGCGAGCATGTTTGGTGTGACGGGGATTCGAACCCGCGACCCTCAGATTGCGAGTCGAGTGCCTTCACCACCTGGCCATGCCGGGCCCAGACTAAAAGAGTTTGGGAACCATTGATCTACATAACGCTCATTCTCTGCAAGACGTTTTATCTTATTAATATTCGGAACAACATTCAGATTTTAATAATTTTTTTTCACTTAATTTAAATGTTCAATAGTTTTTAAGATATGAGAAATCTGAAAATTATAGTTATTCTCTCTAAAATAGCCCTCCAGAAGCTCAGCGGTAAGTCTGCAGGATTATAACACTAAAATTCTGGTTTCGCTACCCGTGATGGGCACAGCATACATAGCCCATTGTGCAGCTTTGTCCCTAACACCAAACAATCTCTCCAAATTCAATTAGAAAAGTATAAACAAGATAACTAGAAACATTATCAGTACTCCATTTCTAACAAGTATAAAGGTGTATTAAATCAGTTATCTGGCCTGTTTGTTGAACGAGTGGTTTTCTGTCGCATTATCATCAGTTTGAGATTAGATCAACTCTCTTTAGTTTATTACCAGAAATTAAACTCCTCGCTTTAGTACGTACCTCGTCATCAAAGATGATCTACCAATCACAATGTCTGTGCTTTGCCTAACGTGGGTATCGAAAACCGGTTTCTTGCGTTGTAAGTACGCAGACATACCGCTGTGCAACTGAGAAACATCACGATGTCAACAACGAAAAAAGTTTCTTTTTTTCAAATAAATAACATTCGTTCCAACTTTATATTGTCGTAGTGTTACTTGGATATATCAAATTATTACATGTGTTTTTCATAAAATTCTAATTTGATTTTGAGTAAAATGATAAAAAAATAAAAACAAACATTCGGAAAATAATTATATATAGTACAATTACAAAAATGGAATTTCTAATCAAATATTCCATTAATCAGAATGTACTAAATTTTCAGATTCGACAAACCTAACAATGTCTAACAATACCGTCTGATGCTGAACAACTAACAATTCAAGTGGCATGCCTAACAATACCGTCTAATGCTGAATAACTACAAGTTCAAGTGGCATGTCTAACAATACCGTCTGATGCTGAACAACTACAAGTTCAAGTGGCATGTCTAACAATACCGTCTAATGCTGAATAACTACAAGTTCAAGTGGCATGTCTAACAATACCGTCTGATGCTGAACAACTACAAGTTCAAGTGGCATGTCTAACAATACCGTCTAATGCCGAATAACTACAAGTACAAGTGGCATGTCTAACAATACCGTCTGATGCTGAACAACTAACAGTTCAAGTGGCATGCCTAACAATACCGTCTAATGCTGAATAACTACAAGTTCAAGTGGCATGTCTAACAATAACGTCTAATGCTGAATAACTACAAGTTCAAGTGGCATGTCTAACAATACCGTCTGATGCTGAACAACTAACAATTCAAGTAGCATGCCTAACAATACCGTCTAATGCTGAACAACTAACAGTTCAAGTGGCATGCCTAACAATAACGTCTAATGCTGAACAACTAACAGTTCAAGTGGCATGCCTAACAATAACGCGTTTAATGTTGAACAACTAACAGTTCAAGTGCCATGCCTATCACTACCATCTAATGCTGAACAACTAACAGTTCAAATGGCATGTCTAACAATACCGTCTGATGCTGAACAACTACAAGTTCAAGTGGCATGTCTAACAATAACGTCTAATGTTGAACAGCTAACAGTTCAAGTGGCATATCTAACAATACCGTCTGATGCTGAACAACTACAAGCTCAAATGGCATGCCTAACAATAACGTCTAATGTTGAACAACTAACAGTTCCAGTGGCATGTCTAACAATACCGTCTAATGCTGAATAACTACAAGTTCAAGTGGCATGCCTAACAATACCGTCTGATGCTGAACAACTACAAGTTCAAGTGGCATGCCTAACAATAACGTCTAATGATGAACAAGTTGCACTTCCCGAAGAATCTCCATACCTTTCTACACTTAAAGCAGGATGAAAAATTACGTTAATCAAACTAACACGAAAAACTTTACAAACTGCGATATCTCCATTAGTCTATTAAATTTCCTTCAGAGATAATGCAAAACAACAACAACAATACTTGAAGGTTTACAATGAAGCAGCCAATTAAGTGTTAATTGCTAATAATTACGCATTATGCTTTACTGAGCTCCTATAATGTCTAAATGACTATCTAGTGCTAATCATTGGATAGTGTAAGGAAACATTTTGCTTCCTTTTTGCTATCAATTAAAAAACAAACATTTCACATTTAATAACACACAGCTTTAGGCTTCAAAATTACTGAGTATTAACGTTTTATTTCTCTACTGTTGTCATTTTTCGGAAATTTGCGCAAATCATTAAAAAGCTATATTATAAATTGTGATACTTTTAGTTTGTTTGTTTGTTTTTGAATTTCGCGCAAAGCTACACGAGGGCTATCTGCGCTAGCCGTCCCTAATTTAGCAGTGTAAGACTAGAGGGAAGGCAGTTAGTCATCACCACCCACCGCCAATTCTTGGGCTACTCTTTTACCAACGAATAGTGGGATTGACCGTCACATTATAACGCCCCCACGGCTGAAAGGGCGAGCATGTTTGGTAGGACGGGGATTCGAACTCGCGACCCACAGATTGCGAATCGAGTGCCCTAACCACCTGGCCATGCCGGGCTATGTCTGAAAGTACATTAGGCCCCTCGATGCTAATCTTTATTTAGCTTTGCAACTTGTCTTGTCCCATCCGGTTTTCAGCTTATTCAAAATACCGCTGAAAGAACGCTCAATTCCATCAGCCGGAAACGGCACCACAATCAGGCATTCAGTTAATTTTTGTAAGATTTTCGTAACCGATGTTTGCTATCCACAAGTAATGCACAACATTTTTATCTTGATCTTCTTGCTCCCTTACAACGCACTTGAAGGAGCTCATGTCAGCTCACACGGCATCAGCATCCAGTCCATCAAAGAAGCTACATCCTCTTTTCATATTATCATATGTCAAACTGCACATTGACTGGATCGTTTGGAATGAAGCGCATACATTGACGAGGGAGACCGCTTGATCATTGAATCGATGTCAGCAAAGTTTTAACGTTTTTGAAGGTTTGACTTTGTGGCTCATTTTCAAGAATCGGCCGCACACCAGAAGCCTCCATTTTGAGATCTACGACAGCTATAGCAATAGAGTTTTCTTTACTTAAATGGGCACGTTGAGTCCCTATATCTTCAAATGCGCTGTCGTCAACGCGGAAATTTGCGCAAATCATTAAAAAGCTATATTATAAATTGTGATACTTTTAGTTTGTTTGTTTGTTTTTGAATTTCGCGCAAAGCTACACGAGGGCGTATCTGC